TACAACTTTCGTAAAGTTCGTTCTCCTAGTACGCAAAGTTAGTACCAAATTCGTGATGTGATTTGCACACGCTAGTTCTCGCTAGTTATCTGTCATAAATGAAAAATACTTGATTAGGGTTCAATACCTGGTGACAACAAACATCAAACATTATAACGAAATTCACATGTTTTAAGACGGGTTTGAGATCAGAATTATTAGTCATGAAATTGTGCTGTAATATTTTCTAACAAACAAAATCATGCTTGCCTAACGAATAAACAGATATTTGTCATTCCTTTCGTGTAAAATTTATATTATTGTTTTTAAAATATATATTTGATAATCTTCTAAGTTGTAAGAGACTGTCCGAGTTTTCTCAAAATGAGAAAAGTTACCTTCACTGCAGTGAAAATATCAAAAGAATTATGACATCATGTTTACAATGGTATGACATCACTATTGCTATCAAGGCAACGTCATCGGTCATTGCTAGGTGATGCAGCAACAATGATAATGATGTCGCCAGAAATTGATGAGGACTTGACCAATTTAAAAACACCACAATTTCCAACACTGAAGCATATTAATTATTATAAAAGTAATACTTTGTTTTTTTTAAGTGAACTATCTCTTACCTCTCATTTTGATGGGCTGAAGCATGCGCCACTGATAAAAATATCGGCTTACCCTGTCAATTGATGCGTGATAAATGATGTACACTGAAGACACAACAATCCTCTATATATTACAGCTATTACAAATATCATAGTTTCAATTAAAACGTTCTCTTTTTATATCCTTTGTCAGTGATGATCATGACATGCAAAAAATCCCACATCTGGATGACGACTTTCAATGAACATGTTCAAGTGATGAATTTGGATTCGTTGATAATGAACTGTCAGAAGAGGATTGCCCAAACAGTGAAGATGAGGATTTCAGTGTAGAGTCTGACTTCAATGGTTATATTTACAAGGGTGCTCAGATAACGTTATCAGTCAGCATACTACTGATTCTGGCCTTAGCAACACGACATTCACTTACATCGGATGGAATAACAGAGTTGTTGCAACTGTTTGCTTTGCACTATACAGCAGGACACTGTCTGCCAACTACACTTTATCCTTCTAAGAAATATTTTCGCAATGTTCACAGAGTATGATCATGCTGTGAATGAAAGAGCTTTTGGTCCTTTTGAAAAGCTTTTGACTTTGAAAAGGGTCAAAGTTGACGGAGATGTGTACTTCTCAGAAGCATACAAGCGAGTACATTTGAGAAATAGTTGTACTGTGCTTTATGAAAGTGATTCTTCACATATGTAAGGCATAATAGAACGTTCGATTCTGATGCTGTTTTTCTGTGTAATGTACCAAATGTTTTGGTAAAAGATTAAGGTTGTAGTTCATCAGTTGAATTACATCACCTCTAAGTTTTGATTCAGACTTTGGATCTTACAAAAAGTCAATATGACATTGCACAAATTACGAGAACATAATGTTAAACTGTTGTAACTGTGCAAGTTACTATTTAAGAATCTTAAAGTTATGAAGTTTGAATTGTCTTTTGTGTTTGGGTAAACTTATGAAGTATGGGATTATCACTATAGTGCTTGAATCATGTTTCTTATTGCCTATCTTAGTCGGGAATGGGAAGATTATGTCTCCATGCTGCAGTTTCAGAAATATTCATAATACCATCCAGTTATTCATTTTGTTCTACTTTGAGCTGTACATGTATTTTTCCTGTTTTTACAATATTTTTAACAATTTGTATAAAATATCTCCCAAAATATTTCGCAATTTCAACACAATTTGGAGTAAACCTTTTATTTGAGTTGTACAATGTAAAACTATGTATTGTATTTACAATACTCCATAAAGTCCTTTTTTTATTTCATGGCAATACATCCATTTTGATTGAAATAATTTGTAAAGTATGTATTTTGGATGTTACTTTACAGTGTCGACCAAACACAATTATTGTGTTAAACATTTAATCAACGATTTTAATATTAGTATTATACCAATGTATGTAATATTTATCAGTTACACGGTGTTTTGAAAGGATTTCGTTTTGAATGTAACTGCAAAACCTTTGAAAATTTCCTAGTTTTAGAAGAACAAATTGTTCAGTGATGTTATGTTTCATGTATGTTATCTTTATTGTAGATATCAGAGAGTAAATTTTGAAAACCCCCGAAAATTTTAACGTCTTATAAGTTTCTCATACAAAATAAGAAACATATGAGAAAGTTTTATAAGAAAGTTTTGTCACTAAGAAATATATAAGATTATTATAAGAAACACCATTTTGATTTCTTATAAGTTTCTTATTCCCAATTATTTCTCATAAGAATCTTATAAGAATTCATCTTCTTATAAGAATCTTATAAGATCTTATAAGGTAAAACCGTATGGGGCATTCTAAAAGTTGTAAGTAATAGGAATGACAAGTCTTTAAGGATGATCAACTTCTTTTTAATGCAATAGTGACATTTCGGTATAGATACTGTTTTCAAGCATGAAAACTACTGCATAAGTATCTATACCAAAACGTCGGTATTGCACAATACAGAAGTTGCTCATCCATTCCTCCTTCTAGTGTGTTTGTTGATGTTTAAGTCATTCTTTCAATCACTGATGTAACTTGGAACACTGTGTGTGACTATAACGCTAGAGGGGAATGCCCAACGTATCATATTGTGTCAGAAGATTTGAAGTCTTATGATGAGAAACATCCACACTGTGAACCCTGCCATATAGCTGGAATATTGCTGAGTGTGGCGTAAAACTAAACTCACTCACTCCAAACTGTGAATCTGCGCTGTGGTCACCCACTACAGACCTTGGTTTTAAAACACGTTCATGTTCTTATCTATACTTACTACCCATCAAAAGTTCAGACTCACATAAAACACTCACTATATGTTATGTATATATATGGTTACATCGAAGATGAATTTCTCCTTATGCAGATGAATTGCACGAGGATCATACATCAAATTACTGACAAGCACGTCCAAATATCGTGCATGGGAAGTGCAGCGTTTTGGTGTAAACATTTGTTAAGAATTCGCCAATTTTCACTGAGTTTCATCATTTATTGAACTCATGACAATAATCTCTTCAACGTTACGAATTTCTTTTATAGTACATCAGTTCATGTGTAAACAGTGCCTATAAACAGTATGGAATATTTTGCAACATCTAGTTTAGAACAGCTGAATGAAGTAGGTGTCTACATTTACAGTAGTGAGTCTAAACTTTTGATGGGTATTATTTATAAATGACTTTGTGACTCTATAGTATGTTGAAATGTAGACCAGCATTTTATAAGGATACAAATAACGGTTATTTTGAGGAAATGCCTGAATGATGTATGTAATACATTGGACTTTGTGATTTCAGATGGAAAATGGGCAGGGTACAGAATAGGCCAGGATGACTGGTTCCTCCAAGCCTCCTGATCACGGGGCCTTGACCTTGTCAGGTCCCATCAGCAACCACAAGTGGAGTATGTCTGGATACATGATACTATATCCTTTGTGTATATTAAGATAATGGGCAAATATTAAACATTGCACTTTCTGTGACATTCCAGAAAGGTATAGGAGCCTCAATCATTAGATTTATCAAGTTTGTACAATGCATGTTATGTTGTAATGTTGTAACCCTTATCTATAGTAGGGATAACGCTTCTAAGTATGTGCAGTGACACCCTTATCTATATAATTCTTGTTATCTGTAATATTGAAGAGTGAGTGGTGACACCGCATTCAACAATATATCAGTCACATCACAGCCTGTTGACTTAATGTGAGAAGAAAGCTTGATACCGACAAACAAACACTCACAATTTGGGAATGAAACCCAGATTGTATCTTGTCAAAGCTAAGTGGGACAGGACTTTCCAGATAATTACTGGACACATTTAGCTGGGCGATCTTGACAAATATAAACATGTCATATGCATGTTGGTTTGGGTTTCTGCATATTTGCCAGAGGTGAATGAGTGAGTGAGTGAGTATGGCTTCACATCACTATTAGCATTATTCCAGCTATATCACGGCGGGGGACACAAAAATGGGTTTTACACGTTGTGCCCATGTTGGGAATTGAACCTGGGTCTTCTACATGAGAAGCAAATCCTATAATCACCAGGTTACTCCACCTCTGTTTGTCAGGTGTAACACCTATAAAGACATGTAGCCCATTTAGCACTAGCATTTCATTTATTTCGTATGAAAAAAAATGCACACTAGCAAATATGAAGGAAACATAAAATTCACTAAAACCAATACATGAAATACAAAACACGATGCATGCATATAATTGAGATCTTGTGCGGCTTGAATATACAAAATATTTTCAGATAGTTGTTGCACTTGTTCAAATTACAAATGATATCTGAAGTTGTCCAAATAACTATTAGTACGACACTACAAACCTCTGGAACATTCCTGACAATCCTATCAACATATACAATCCACTGGGACATTCCTTTCAATCCTTTCAACATATACAATCCACTGGAACATTCCTGACAATCCTATCAACATATACAATCCATTGGGACATTCCTTTCAATCCTATCAACATATACAATCCACTGGAACATTCCTGACAATCCTATCAACATGTACAATCCACTGGGACATTCCTTTCAATCCTATCAACATATACAATCCACTGGAACATTCCTGACAATCCTTTCAACGTATACAATCGAATGGAACATTCCTGACAATCCTATCAACATATACAATCCACTGGAACATTCCTGACAATCAACATATACAATCCACTGGAACATTCCTGACAATTCTTTCAACGTATACAATCCACTGGAACATTCCTGACAGTCCTTTCAACGTATACAACCCGATGGAACATTCCTGACAATCCTTTCAACATATACAATCCACTGGAACATTCCTGACAATCCTATCAACATATACAATCCACTGGAACATTCCTGACAATCCTATCAACATATACAATCCACTAGAACATTTCTGACAATCCTTTCAACATATACAATCCACTGGAACATTCTTGACAATCCTATCAACATATACAATCCACTGGGACATTCCTTTCAATCCTATCAACATATACAATCCACTGGAACATTCCTGACAATCCTATCAACATGTACAATCCACTGGGACATTCCTTTCAATCCTATCAACATATACAATATACTGGAACATTCCTGACAATCCTTTCAACGTATACAATCCACTGGAACATTCCTGACAATCCTTTCAACATATACAATCCACTAGAACATTCCTGACAATCCTTTCAACATATACAATCCACTAGAACATTCCTGACAATCCTATCAACATATACAATCCACTAGAACATTCCTGACAATCCTATCAACATATACAATCCACTGGAACATTCCTGACAATCCTATCAACATATACAATCCAGTTAAAACTGCTGCTGGTAGGGGCAAAATGGATGTAGATGAATGCTGGGATAACATCATCACACAGCAAAATAACTCTAGTGTGGATGTTCAGGAGCTTCAGCGTCGCTTCCTTTTGTTGATGTATTTTTAAAGAAAGTATTGACAATATAAAGATGCATATAAGATGCAAGTATCACTAACTTAGCCACATTAAAAATATTACTGTCATTCAAGACCAGGAACAGCACGATCAAATGTAAATTCAATGACCATCAACACAATGAAATATAAATGGATTTGGCATCAAAATGATCAAATGTAAATTCATTTTACGTCCTGGGTCGGCTTGCACAAAGCCATCTTAGCTCTAGGATTAACTCCCATCCCATGACGTGGACTTCCGGGGGTCGTAGTGCTAGGATGACATTGTAGTGTAAAGCAGCCCAGATGATTAAATGTTCATGCATTTCATATCTTAAATGATCAAATGCACATATGGTTACCTTCAACGCGATCAAATGTACATATGGTTACCTTTAACGCGATCAAATGTACATATGGTTACCTTCAACACGATCAAATGTTCATATGGTTACCCTCAACATGATCAAATGTTCATATTATGGTTACCCTCAACATGATCAAATGTACATATGGTTACCCTCAACATGATCAATGTACATATGGTTACCCTCAACATGATCAAATGTACGTATGGTTACCCTCAACATGATCAAATGTACATATGGTTACTTTCAACATGATCAAATACACATATGGTTACCCTCAACATGATCAAATGTTCATATGGTTACCCTCAACACGATGAAATGTACATATGGTTACCCTCAACATGATGAAATGTACATATGGTTACCCTCAACACGATGAAATGTACATATGGTTACCCTCAACACAATCAAATGTACATACTGTTACCCTAAACACTATCAAATGTACATATGGTTACCTTCAACATGATCAAATGTACATATGGTTACCCTAAACACGATCAAATGTACATATGATTACCCTCAACACGATCAAATGTACGTATGGTTACCTTCAACAGGACCAAATGTACATATGGTTACCCTTAACATGATCAAATATACATATGGTTACCTTCAACATGATCAAATGTACATATGGTTACCCTCAACACGATCAAATGTACATATGGTTACCCTCAACACGATCAAATGTACATATGGTTACTTTCAACACTATCAAATGTACATATGGTTACCCTCAACACTTTCAAATGTACATATGGTTACCTTCAACACTATCAAATGTACATATGGTTACCTTCAACACGATCAAATGTACATATGGTTACTTTCAACACAATCAAATGTATATATGGTTACCCTCAACACGATCAAATGTACATATGGTTACCCTCAACAAAATGAAATGTACATACGGTTACCCTCAACACTATCAAATGTACATATGGTTACCCTCAACACTATCAAATGTACATATGGTTACCCTCAACACTATCAAATGTACATATGGTTACCCTCAACACTATCAAATGTACAAAGCTAATGTACATTATTCCAGTACATCTTAACCATGAAAACAAAAGCTGTTCAATTTTAGAATGGATCTTCATTTGCAGAAGTTCTGCCCTTCCTCAACCTCCCAGAGTTTGTCCGGGAGCTGTGGCCCGGGCATGAGGGAGAAGTCTATCTCCTCATACACCACAGGCTTCTCCTTGCTGTGTACGACGAACGTACCGTCAACCAGGAGAGGTTCCACAAGGTCAAGGTCAGCGTAGATAAGTCCATCGGCATTCTGAAAGTTAAACTAATTGATGAGTATTTTTTAATATGGATATTGACTGATCATTTCTATGGGCAAACCAGTTATTCGTTATGAAAACAGCTACAAATAGGCAAATATGGTAAGTTATGGGATGTAGCACTATAAACAGGGCATTACTACGGACTGATAATAGATGCTCCAACACACGCCTACACACACCTTGCTATGTACCTGCAGTACTTTTATATAACGTCAATACCCACTTGATCGCACATGACCTTTCGGGTCACCTACGAATGAGCAGTTGAGAACTCACCCGTTCTCCAGAGTTGTTGATCAGAGCCTCTCTCTCACTCTGGAGATAAATCATATGATCAATTGAAAACATTTTACCATTAATACCAATTCATGACGATGACGAACATTCCTAAAAATGCGAGACCATTCTACTCTTAACTCGCCACGATATGGCTGAAATATTGCCCATGTGACGTTAAATAGTAACTAGCTCACTCACTAACTCACTACCCTTAAATGTTGTAACACGTATAAAGTAATTATGCCTGATAAACCGTGTCCAGGTCGTCGGCGATTATCGGTATCTCCGACAAGAAGGCAAACTGACGTTGGACTGTCCCTAGACATGCTCCAAATAGGGGTTTACTCCCATTAGTTAGACATACAAGAGTTAGACTATTGGGATGTCTGACAAATGGGAGGATACCAGAGCCCCATTATTTATTTACTATTTGTTGTTTATGTACACAACCAAGAATATGTTCCAGGAAGGACAAAATGTGCAATAGATCAGTATGGCCCATCTAGTGGCAGCATGAATGCAACATATACGTGAATCAACATGTATGTCACAAAGACGGGTATCGCCCAACCTGGTGGACACACCGGCTTCTGACATACATACTTAAAATATTTCTGCAGACATTATGGAAATTCACCTTCAGTAAAATTCCATCAGTCTTTTATCAACATTCCAGCAATATCACGGCGGGGGACACCAGAAATGGGCTTCACACATTGTACACGTGGGGAATCGAACCCGGGTCTTCGGCGTGACGAGCTAACGCTTAGACCATTGGACCCGTGAAGATCCGGGTTAAAATTGGTCTGCAACAACCCCTGCTTGTCGCAAGAGGCGACTAACGGGATCGCGTAGTCAGGCTCGCTGACTTGGTTGACACATGTCATTGTAACCCAATTCCGTAGATAGATGTTCATGCTGCTGATCACTGGATTGTCTGGTCCAGACTCGATTATTTACAGACCACCGTCATACAGCTTGAATATTGCTGATTGCGGCATAAAACAACAAACCAACCATCCAACCAATGACTTTAACCACTAGGCTACCCCACCGCCCCGAAGTCATGCCATCTGCTGCTTAATGCTGTGTGCGTGATGTAAACTCACCGGGCGCGGTGCACCATACATGAGGTTTATCAACTGGACTGGCTTGTACACATCTGTGGGGCAACAACACACGTGAGTGGAAGTGAGAAAGTTTGGGCCTAGCACCACAGTATGAAATGTTACACTGACATCATTATATAAGCAAGCGTTGAACACACAACGCGGTTTTGACACATTAAGTTGGTAAGTGAGTATGGTTTTACGCCGCGTTTAGCAATATTTCAGCTATATCACAGCAGGGGACACCACAAATGGGTTTCACACATTGTATAAATGTGGGTAATCGCACCCGGGTCTTAAGCGTGACGAGCGGACTCTTCAACCATTGGGCTACCCCACCGCCTCTTGACACAATGAACACCGTTCAAGTTCACAGACATCAGATTGTCGATAGTCGGCGACACTATACTGGTCCAGAATATTCCCTGAACCCTGCCTCACCCGTGCAGAAAAAATGAATAATCGGTTAAGGGAGAACTGTAGAATACAATCACGGTGTGGCGGACATGTGATATATGATTTAATGATTTTGTTAGAGAACTATGGGTTTACCTTCACGTCTCTCCCGTCTCCTCTTGGTCACCTTGGAGTACAGATCTGTAGACACATATAACACGGTAACAGATACGGTAGTTTATGTTAAAATAGAAAAACATATTGTAGATATTTGTTGGGACAGTCTTGATTTAATACTTTTTAATCGTGTGCTATAATAGGCAATCTCGAAGTCGATGAGTAAAGGGTGGTGATGATTTAGTTGGAGGGGGAAGGTAATTGATATTGTACATGCCATTTAGGGATACATGAATTCCAGGGGGGGGGGCATACACATTGAACATGCTTCTCTATCAAAATCATCATCACACACACAGAAGTCATAAATTATGAACGGTCCCTTAAAAGGAAAAATACAAGATTCTGCAATACAACTTCCGGATTATTTCTTTTTATGTACTTAACGTTTGATCCTATACTCCTACTGACAAGGAGGTGCATAATGCTATTATCGTATTGTGTTTTAGCAATTCCTGTCAGTCATGTGGTAATCTGAACAATACACACGTGTTGCATTACGTTGAAATATTAATCATGGAAACCCCATCGCTTGTGTATGATAACTCAGGGAAGATGTACAACAACAGTGTGTAACTACTGTATGTGAATACTATCCAGTTACTTTGCCCTATACAGAATAATGTGATCGTGCTCTGTCCTAACTCCGATATGTATATGCAATCATGTTCGATATATTGACGTTCTATATTCAACACCCATGTATGTCAGCAGTTAATAGTAAACGTCATCAGTCCCATGAGTGTTTCATCTGCCGAAGGAGCAAGAATCAGCCATGAAATGTTCTACAAACAATAACAAGAAGTTGTTGTCAGAAACCTCTGCAAATGACTATAAAACTATAAAACTCCGAAGTGTACCCTCTTATGTTATAGGATGGGTTGTACAGTGACACTCTGGATATGATATCGTTGATATCATGACCCCCATATGTCAGTGACATATCACTGGCATGGTTGAATGTTACTGGCATAATTATCCTAGAATGTTGGAAACTGTGTACCTTGGTAGATCCCAACTAAAAATTACCTATTATCATGACCCTCTGGAAACTATTTAGACGCATTCTCAAACGAAAGCTAGAAATCGTCTTTTTTGACGGAATAGAACAGAAGTTGTTGCTAATTGGAAACATCCTGGTATCAGAAATATAACGAAGTTTACGTTTAGCAGCCGGGCGACATGGGCAGTATATGTACTTCTCCGGATGACACGTACCACCAGACCTAGCACTTACAGAGACTTCAGAGACATAGGGACATGAAAAACTAGATGTTACATAGACAATAACCGAACCTGGAACGTATACACCTATAATTACTATAATTAAAACTTTTGGCGATGGACTTTGCTTTACATAAAATGTACTGTTATAGCAAAGTGTGACACTCACTCACTCACTCACTCATTTGTTGTAGTTCTATTAATCGATTCAGACTCTAGCTATATTTGTAGGACTAGATGTCGGTCTATTGACATGTATATCATTACTACAGATTTCCCAGAGAGAAGGCAGTACAGTATAAGGAAACTGATAGTTTATAAAATAGGAAATATGCTTAATATGTATATGCACATATATTACCACAAATAACTTGTCAGTCTAACAAAGAAGGAAATATTTATGAAATGAAAAGCAAAACATCTTTACATGAAAAAAGCAATATTTTTTTATTACAGGCTTTACTGGGTGAGGTTGTTGAAGTTTGTCACGAAAGTTACACGCAAGTGTTGATTTTGATTTACCATTACATAACTCACGTGTTCATCTGGCTTTACTGGGTGAGGTTGTTGGAGTGGTGTCACAGACCATCTTCCTTGACAATGTACCATGACAGTGTTGGGAATTTCCATCAGATTTCTTGGCCAATGTACCATGTTACACCGTAACTGATGTCCATCAGACCATCTTCCTGGAATATGTACCATGTTACACCGTGTAACTGGTATGTCCCTCAGACCATCTTCTTGGCCAATGTACCTTGTTACACCGTGTAACTGGTATGTCCATCAGACCATCTTCTTGAACAATGTACCATGTTACACCGTGTAACTGGTATGTCCATCAGACCATCTTCTTGACAATGTACAATGTGTTACACCGTGTAACATGTTACACCGTGTAACTGGTATGTCCATCAGACCATCTTCTTGGACCATCTTCCTGTACCATGTACCATGTTACCGTGTAACTGGTATGTCCATCAGACCATCTTCTTATGTCCATCAGACCATCTTCCTGGACAATGTACCATGTTACACCGTGTAACTGGTATGTCCATCAGACCATCTTCTTGGCCAATGTACCATGTTACACCGTGTAACTGGTATGTCCATCAGACCATCTTCTTGGCCAATGTACCATGTTACACCGTGTAACTGGTATGTCCATCAGACCATCTTCCTGACGTTACATGGTACTTTGTGCAGTAGTGGGTACAACAAGGACTGGTCGGCCCCGAGTCAGTATACTGAGTCTGATTGGGGTATTCATGCTTCACTGCGGCATGGTATCTCAGTGAGCTAGCACTATAAAACCAGCTAAAGTATGGGCTAGTACAAGCAGCCACACATACACACTCATGCACGTCGTCATATGAGCGAAATATTCTTAAGTACGACGTTAAACCCCATTTCACCTCACCTCACCAATTGATGAAGTACAACGGTGCAGCAGTTTACCGTAACAGCTTGGGGCAGCCACACACGTTGACTATGTAACACAGTGTTACAGCTACAAACAATAGCCCAAGCACTAATACAGTGTACCAAGAAGCTTGGAAAAAACTACAAGTGCATGAAGCTGTCAGATTTAGCGTTGTCAGAGCAATACTGTCTTTAGCTATGGCATGAAAGAGGTGGATGTTAAAACAAGGTTGACAGATTTAGCGTTGTCGGAGCAATACGGCATTTAGCTATGGTATGAAAGAGACGGATGTTACAACAAGGCTGGTAGATTTAGCGTTGTCAGAGCAATACGGTCTTTAGCTATGGTATGAAAGAGACGGATGTTAAAACAAGGCTGACAGATTTAGCGTTCTCGGAGCAATACGGTATTTAGCTATGGCATGAAAGAGGCGGATGTTAAAACAAGGCTGACAGATTTAGCGTTGTCAGAGCAATACGGTCTTTAGCTATGGTATGAAAGAGGCGGATGTTAAAAAAAGGCTGAAAAATTTAGCGTTCTCGGTGCAATACGGTCTTTAGCTATGATATGAAAGGGGCGGATGTTAACACGAAGCGTAACATGAGCAGAAGAAACCTGAAGTAATACTGAAGAAAGAACGGTATCGAAACGATATGTTGTCACAGGTACTCGTTTCGTTTGGTGGAGTATCGGAGGCTAAGCATTGCGCTGTATACTCACGTCTCGGGTCTTGCTGGGCCTGTTCTTCATTGTCAGCTTCAGCACTGCCGGAAATAAACATAATGTGTAACTGATGTGTAATTTAGTCGTGCTTAGAAAATGATATCAGATATAGCTGTGAACCTATTTGTCCATTAAGTCTGAGGTTGGCGATGGGGTGGGCCTGTGGTATAAGCATTTGTTCTAGATTTGACACCGTATGTCTGAAAGGTAAACACCCCATGGTCCTTGTCCTGATTTAGGGCGAGGACTCTCGGAGTAGTGAAAACCACACACTCACTCACTCACTCACTCACTCGCCCTGACGATGTACTTACCTGCACGGATGTTCTCCTGAAATGTTCATGTCGCAGTAATCAGGTTAATTTCCACGTTTATGATCAACATTGAAATACGATGATTTTGATTTGAAATCTTGATTTTGTCAGTATATAACTGGATGAATCACTGAAGGTTACCAAACGTTTGGAGAATGGTTACAGAATCCGCTAATAAATAGTACGAGATATACGAAATGAGGCAATATGCTATTTTGCAGCGAAGTAGTTAAGATAACATGACATTGAATAAATGTTGATACTATGTTCAGTTTCTCGTCAGCTTGACATATTACTTTTCTTGGCTCTATGTCTGTGAAGACTGATTGCGATGGCGACAGCAACGACGACGGTGATGACACACAAGACAGCAACTGTAGGCTCGATTGGGACGTCAGGTGCTTCATTTGAAACACAAGAAAACCAAACAACTATTGTAAATACTGGTTCATATTATACATGTTGGGAAACCACCAATGTGATATACAGGTCATTACAAGCTCCGATATACGCCACAAAGAAGACTCGAACAATGTTGAGGATCAAACAATGGACAGGTTGTATCTTCCAGGTAAGTGTGGTACAGTTATCTAACAAACCAACAAACATGCCCGTACTTTCCCCACCATTGCTCGAGATGTTTATTCAGTTGGGTTTTGTTAGCTACATCGTACATTAGCAACAACAAGAACATCTTGGTTGTCTTCGTGGCCAACGGTGTCTTCATCTCGACGTTCTCGACTGTACGGGTGCTTAATAGCCTTTTACGTAGATTGACAAACTAGTATGAAGAAAGGGAGATTGGTTTTCAGGACAAATCTGAATTTCCTACTTGGTTTATCAAGCTTCAGATTCCTCGACTTATTCCCATGACTGTTGTTGACATCACAGATGTACTGTCCTAGATCTGTCCCTACAGCTGGAACATTACAGTACAACACAGCCTCCTCAGTGTCCTGTAACCAGCCTCTGTGTGGATGTGGTCCCACCAGGTTACAGTGACGTATAACAGGCAGGGTTACAGTCAGCGGAACATCTCACTGGGCTGGTTGTTCCATTGAACAGGATCTGCTCTGGTCCATCTGGAACGGGATGTCAATTAGAGGCCTTGAATACAATCCTCTTGTTATAACAGTGAAGTATAACATAGCATACTGCTCACGTACAAGATGTGAAATGTTCAACTCACACTGAACATCCAGGTCGTGTCCGTGACTCCAGTCAGACTCCAGCCCCTCCTCCACAGCCTGGCAGCTGTAGTTGCCGTCCCCGCCTTGCTGATGTGTCTCATAGTGAGGTCCGGCCCGGCTACATGAACGTCTTCCCCTCCTTGAATCTTCTCTCACTGTTCCTCCTCCAGATGTAGGTCATGGTCAGAGGGGTGGTCCGGGGAGACTCCGGGAGGAGGAGGAGCATGTCAGGGTGACACGCCCACCTGAGTCAGCTGATGTAGGTCCAGTGATGCTTGACTGTGAAGGTTTCTCTGTAATGACAGATAACATCGGCATTTACCCTGGGCAGATGTTCCAGATTAGGAGTGTTTTCGAATAAATGAGTAAGAGAATGATTATGGTTTTACGCCGCTTTTAGCAATATTCCAGCAATATCATGACGGGGACACCAGAAATGGGCTTCCCACAATGTACCCACATGGGGAATCGAACCCGGGTCTTCGGCATGATAAGCAAACGCGTTAACCTCCAGGCTACCCCACTACCCCGTGTCCTGTCAGGGCAGATGTCTCCCTTCTGTATTTTCAAAAGAAAACATAAAATCCCATGACAGTTGGTACCATCTATGGTATTGAGAAGCGACACTTTATGACAGTCGCGTCCTCCCAGCAGACACTGTCGTTAAAACACATCTACAAGCCATGGGCCGAGGCCAGTTGTTGTAAAAAGACAACGGTGCTATAAGACACTTGGCATAGTATGGAACTTTGTCAGATCACTATCGTTACTGCATACTTTGATGAAAACACAATGTTCTGTAAAAACATGTTCATTTACAATATACTGAAAGGCAAAAGAAACATCGTATGTAGATGGGATAGTAACTGGTGGAATGGATCACTCTATGGTGATAAGAAACTAGCACACAATGAAAAGATAACAGAATTTTTGACAAACAATTGTTTATTAAGGCCTTTGGTGTTGTTTGTCACATCCTATTCACCGATGACGTCACTGAAAGGAACCGAAGTCAATATCGGGTGTGACCACCGTTTGCATTCACAACTGCAGCACACCTCCTGACCACAGAGTGCACGAGGCGATTCACATAGGCCATAGGAATCCGAGCCCACACTCTCTCAGAAACGCTGTGCGTATTTTTAATATTTTTTTTATTGGTTCCTAAGATTACAATATTGCAGATATACCAAGCCGTGATACATACGGCTTAAAGTAATATGTCTACATGATGTACAGGTGAGATATTTTTGTATTAATATATTTATAAACATGCATAATTCATTAAATAGATAATGTACAGATGTACAGGTGAGATATTTTGTATTAATATATTTAAAAACATTGATAATTCATTAAATAGATGACCCGTGAAGATCCGGGGTAGGATAGGTCTTATGCTTGCCATAAAAGGCGACTATGCTTGTCGTAAAATGCGACTAACGGGATCGGGTGGTCAGTGTCGCTGACTTGGTTGACACATTACGTCATCGGTTCCCACTTGCGCAGATCGATGCTCATGCTGTTGATCACTGGATTGTCTGATCCAGACTCGATTATTTACAGACCGCCGCCATATAGCTGAATATTGCTGAGTGCGGCGTAAAACTAAACTCACTCCACTCACTCATTAAATAGATAATGTACAGATAATGTCAGGTACAAGTCAATACAGTTTTGAGTCATCTAAGTACTGGGAGAGATGGCTCCATTTATGATGGAAATTATTTATTTTATTTTTTGCTGATATATGTTTTTCCACAAAGAATATTTCTGTTAGAGTTTTTATATAGAAAGTTAGATTTGGAAGCATATTTTAATACTGCATAAGTAAATATGTCTCTTTACGCAGCAATGATGATGTGATTTAGTAATCTATTTTCATGTTGAGTACCAAACCAAATCATGTTTTTTGATAATTTCAATGGATGTTGATAATAATTGTTAAGCCAAATGTAGGTTTATCCAAAATGTTTATAAAAAATGTCCAACATTTTTGGGAACGCTGTGCGTAGTTGGTCCGCAGTTGCCGGCCTTGGTCTAATGTCATTGAGGCGTCTTTGGATCTCATCCCATAAATGCTCTATTGGATTGAAGTCTGGGCTTAGGGCTGGCCAAGGCATGGTTTCCACATTATGCTGCTGCAGAAATGCTCTAGTGAGTCTGGCGGTATGTGCACGCGCATTGTCCTGCTGGAAAACGTGACGCCGATGACGTGTAAAAAACGGCGCAACATGGTGTCGTAGGACTTGGTCGATGTACCGGGCAGCTGTCACACCATTCCCTTTCTTGGACCAACATTCTGGAAGATTACAGGCCCGGTTTTCTGGTTTAGTCCGATTCCACCCCATACCATAATGCTCTGACCATCCCAAGCGTTTCTCTCCATCGCACACTCATCATTGAAGCGTTCTCCCTCTGCGACGCCAGACCCTAGTCTTCCCATCAGTCACAGATACTCAACAGCGACTTTCATCGGAGAAGATAACAGTTCTCCACTGTCTCTGATGCCAGTAAAGTTGTCGCTGCTGTGCCCAGTGTAGACGTTCGCGGCGGTGACGTTGCGTTAACACTGACCCAGGGCAGGACGTATACAGCACAGGTTGCTGGCGTGGATGCGTCGCCGAACAATGCGGTCACTGATTTCTCTTTGGTGGCCAATGGTGTTTCGAGCTGTCTCTGTTGCCCTGTTGAACCGGTCTTGCAGGTGGTGACGGACGATATGATTTGGTATTGGCGACGGGTGGTTACCCGAGGACGACCACGACGTGGACGGTCATTTGTTCTGTTGGTGGTGTTGAACTGCTGTCGGAGACTTTCAATTGTTCTTACAGAACAATTGGAAGTCATTGGCGATGACACTAGCACGTTGACCTGCGTGGAGACGTCCGATGGCCCGTTGACGGTGATCCCTTGTCAACCTCGGCATAGCTGCTGTAGTCAGGAAACGACTGAAGGATCGGTAGTCAAGCTGGGAATTTATACCTGTATGCACACGAGATGCACGTGCAGTGTGCTCTCAATGTTGCGTTTGCTTGAGCTGTTCCTTGTCCAAAAACAGTGAATTTTTTTAAAACCATCTAAAAAAGTTGGTGTGTTGTACAAACTTATCATGTAGTCTTCGAATCATGTTTTTCAAATGTTGTTTTTAGTCATCAAGTGACAACTAGTTAATCAAAATGCATCATTGATACCAAATCCATAATCTGAAAAATACGACGTTTCGTTTGCCTTTAGTATATATGAACATTTTTGTAACTAGTTTTGTTGCATTAATCACCATGGCAACATACAAAATTGACAAATCAGAATGCAAGAATAGCCTTTGGCCCGGTTCTTCCAACATGGCCGCCCTCATGCTGCAATGGGTTTATCTGTTTACTTTTGGTGATCACGAACCTTGTCTGTATTTACTGAGTAGGGTGGTATGTTTGAACATATGGACGTGTGGATAGATCCGATCTGTTTAGAGAGGAAAATAAAAAAGTATAATAAAAATATCTCTCGGATCAGTGCTGGCTATGTTCCGCTTATAGCGGTGCAGTCATACAAAATGAATGCAACAAGGCCCCAGACGGGTAAATTCTCATACTCGTGTACTCATGATGCACCAAATATAACTTACGTGCCACAACGAGAAGCTGTTCACAGCCAGGTATCCCTTTGGTTGTGTCAAACGGTTTACATTCGTAGAGCCCTACGTCCTCTGTAGTGACATTATACAGTGTAAACCTGACCTCTGATGGGGTGATGCTCACAGGGATCTCTCTGTCTCTGTACCATGTGTGGCTGGTGTTCACAATGTAATTCCCAGTGTCAGTTTTGAGAAAGATATATTCTAAAACATTATTAACTTCCACGGCGACTTTATACTCTTGTCCAGCCTGGGATGTGTTGAGGGAGATGGTCACGTTATGACCAACACGTGCAACGATGTAATCAGATCCTGTCGTGGCAGACACGAGACCTGCAAATAAAACATTATTGTCCATGTACTTCAACACAATACCGCACACATGAAACATTATTGTCAATATACGTCCACAATACTGCACACATAAAACATTATTGTCAATATACTTCCACACAATACTGCACACATGAAACATTATTGTCACTATACGTCCACCAAACTGCACACATAAAACATTATTGTCAATATACGTCCACATTATTCTGCACACATAAAACATTATTGTCAATATACGTCCACACAATACTGCACACATGAAACATTATTGTCACTATACGTCCACCAAACTGCACACATCAAACATTATTGTCAATATACGTCCACAATACTGCACACATAAAATATTATTGTCAATATACGTCCACACAATACTGCACACATAAAACATTATTGTCAATATACCTCCACACAATACTGCACACATAAAACATTATTGTCAATATAAGTCCACACAATACTGCACACATAAAACATTATTGTCAATATACGTCCACATTATTCTGCACACATAAAACATTATTGTCAATATACGTCCACCAAACTGCACACATAAAACATTATTGTCAATATACGTCCACATTATTCTGCACACATAAAACATTATTGTCAATATACGTCCACACAATACTGCACACATGAAACATTATTGTCACTATACGTCCACCAAACTGCACACATCAAACATTATTGTCACTATACGTCCACAATACTGCACACATAAAATATTATTGTCAATATACGTCCACACAATACTGCACACATGAAACATTATTGTCAATATACGTCCACAATACTGCACACATAAAACAGTATTGTCACTATACGTCCACAATACTGCACACATAAAGCATTGTTGTCAGTATAGGTGCACAATACTGCAAACATGAAACATTACTGTCAAATTACGTCCACACAATACTGCACACATAAAACAGTATTGTCACTATACGTCCACAATACTGCACACATAAAGCATTATTGTCAGTATAGGTGCACAATACTGCAAACATGAAACATTACTGTCAAATTACGTCCACACAATACTGCAAACATGAAACATTATTGTCAATATACGTCCACACAATACTGCACACATAAAACAGTATTGTCACTATACGTCCACCAAACTGCACACATCAAACATTATTGTCAATATACGTCCACAATACTGCACACATGAAACATTATTGTCAACATACGTCCAGAATACTGCACATATAAAACATTATTGTCAATATACGTTCACACAATACTGCACACTTACAATAATTAAACATTCAGCGTGTTGTGCATGCCTTAGTTGCTAACATTAATTTGAATAAACGTGTGTAACAGATGTTGGTATCTATATCAGTAGAAATACATACCAAAAACAAGTAGTGCCCAAGAAACAAGATCTACCACAGACATGACTGTAACTCATTGCCTAGTGGTGAGCGGCCAGGGTCCAACTGGCTATAATATCATGGGTTTCACTTGTTGCTGTCACCAACACGAGTTGCACATGGTCATACTTCCGTGTACAGATAGGTCGTATCACTTGAGACTTTCACCTTCCCACATACACGGCAAAGAAATACGTTATGTGAACATTCAGCTACAAAAGGACATTGTGTCATGACAGAAAAGGAAAATTATAATGGAGTAGTAGTTTTGAGTTCAATCTCTTTTCAAAATCGCTGATGTTTATAGAAGGATAAGAATATATAGTTGATCAAACAAATGATGATAACGGTGTTTGAACTTACACCAAGACGTCCTCTGTGGCCAGAGTTCAGGCTTACACTGTATGACGTCACCACAGAGGACGCAGGTCTCTACGAATGTCGGAGGTTTGACACAAACAAGGGGATACCTGGCTGTGACCAGCTTTTTGTTGTGACATTTCGGTGTAGGTTTTAAAAGGATTGATATTTGCCTGGACCTGTTGTATAAGTGAGTTACGACTGCAGACATGTTGACTGATGTAGTCAGAAAAGAACTCGCCCTTTTCCCTTAAGTATTTTAAATCGTTGTTCTGCTACTGAAATGTGATCTGCTATATTGGGTTCGAATCCATGTTTCAGCATGGTTAACGTTAATACATTTACTCAACAGAAAATCGTACACTGCCTTCATTGATCCTGTTGAATATTTAAAAGGGATAATGTTCCCTCCCCGAAATATGAAGCTGCAGAGGCAACACGACTGAATGGGTATGTTTGAAGTTAAATGTCGAGTCCTGAAAGACCCCACGCTTGTGGTAAGAGGCAACTAACGGGATCGGGCGGTCAGGCTCGCTGACTTGTTTGACACATTGTATCCAAATTGCGTAAATTGATGCTCATGTTGTTGATCACTGGATTATCTGATCCAGACCTGATTATTTACCTACCGCCGCCATGTAGCTGGAATATTGCTAAATGCGGCGTTAAGGGAGAACCAACCACCCAACCAACCCTAGATGACACTCACGGGTCAAAGATGCAGTAGCGAGTCTCTATGTATGATGGGACCGCCTCCGTGGTGTAGTGGTTAGAGCGTCCGCCCGGAGAGCGGAAGGTCGCGGGTTCGATCCCCGACCGCGTCATACCAAAAATACGTTAAAATATGGAACTTGTTGGTCCCTGCCTGGCGCTCGGCATTAATGGGTACAACAAGGACTGGTCGGCTCAGAGTCAGTATAATGCTTCAATGCGGGATGGTATCTCAGTGGGCTAGCACTATAAAACCAGCTTAAGTCTGGGCTAGCACACGCAGCCACACATACACATACACACGCATGCACGTCGCCATATGAGCGAAATATTCCTCAGCACGACGTTAAACCCAATTTCACCTCACCTCACCTCACCTATGTATGATGGCCTCCAGCATGCCACGAATCCCTCAACCCAAACATGTGCCGGAAGGGCAACTGCAACCACATGAAAGGTGATTCCAGTCCACACACATGTTCTGGGCAGAGAGCTGCAGTGCCCTTGTCGTACTGTCCAAGACTGTTCCACGGGTACATTAGTGGATTCAGGTATCCAAAACAGGGCCGAGGTAGAGTGTTATCTGAAAGCTGGCTGTCAATGCCCTGGAACCATTCATCATTATGAACTGAGTTCTCGTGGCAAAGAGGGAGAGTGTCTAAATGGGGTAACTTGGTCATCTCGGGTGTACCAGTTTTCAGTAAAGTTGCCTTGTTTGATGACAAATAATGGGTAGCCTAGTGGTTAAAGCGATCGATCGTCACGACGAAGACCCGGGATCGATTCTCTTCATGGATGCAATGTGGGAAGTTCGTTTCTGCATCCATCATGATATCGCTGGAAGCGGCGTCAAACTGCACTCACTCATTCATCATTACCGAACCTTCCCCATAAATGGCAGTAGGTATTGTGATCATCTGTGTGTAGGTCGTGTGTCTGTGCCACCGAACCCTCAATCCGCCGTTCACATGGAACAGGGGCGATGGGGCAGCCTAGTGGTTAAAGCATTCGCTCGTCACGCCGAAGACCCGAGTTCGAATCCCCACATGGGTACAATGTGTGAAGCCCATTTCTGGTGTCCCCGCCGTGATGTTGCTGGAATATTTCTAAAAGCGGCGTAAAATCAAACTCACTAAGTCAGTCAGTCAGTCAGTCACATGGAGCACGAACTAGATTTAGTCCGACCAATAGGTTCTCGGCTTGGTTCTCGGATTCCCAACCCGTTGTGTGATAACTAACCATGGCCTCTAATGATTAACTGAAGTCTGTAGTTCGATGGCCCTCAGGAACGTACATTATGCCTATGCATTCTCAGCGTAGTCAACACAAATTAGATGCTGATGTAATTACCATGGCCAGATGCTGGAAGGTAGACGGGTAGGCCAAAGATGGAGAATGTCGGCTGGATGGTAAATCTCAACATTGTGGATGTCAGTGTGGACACCACATGAACACCACATTAATATTACATGGACTCTACATGAACACTGCACGGACATTGGACGTACATTACATGAACACCACATTGACACTACATGAACACCACATTAATAGTACATGGATCTACATGAACACTGCACGGACATTGGATGAACAGTACATGAACACCACATGGACACTACATGAACACCACATTAATATTACATGGACTCTACATGAACACTGCACGGACATTGGATGAACATTACATGAACACCACATGGACACTACATGAACACCACATTAACATTACATGGACTCTACATGAACACTGCACGGACATTTGATGAACATTACATGAACACCACATTGACATTACATGGAAACCACGTGGACACTAAATGGACACTACATGGACACCACATAAACACCATAGAACAATACATGAACATTACATGGACACTACATGAACAGCTCATGGACACCACATGTACACAAAATGTACATGGACACCGCGCGTACAGTATATGGACAATATATGGACACTATATGAACACCACATTAACACAACATGGGCACTGCATGGACACCAAATGAACACCACATAGACAACACATGGACACCACATGAACATCACTTCGACATCACATAGACACCACAAGGACATACGTGAAAACTACATGGACAATACATGGACACCACATGAACACTACGTGAACACCACATACACACTACATGAACACTACATGAACACTACATGCAGACTACATGAACACTACATGAACACTGCATGAACACTACATGAACACTATGTGGACACTGCATCTACACTACATGAACGCCACATGGACAGTACATGAACACTACATGAACACTACATTGAACACTGCATGGACACTACATAAACACTGCAAGAACACCATATGAACACTACATGAACACCACATGGACACTACGTGAACATTACATGAAATCTTCATGGACACTACATGAACTCAGCATAAACACCACATTGACATTACATGGAAACCACGTGGACACTGAATGGACGGTACATGGACACCATGGAAATCACATGGACACCAAATGTACATGGACACTGTATGGCCACGGCATGGACACCACATGAACACTGCATGAACGCCACATGAACACTACATGGACACTACATTTAAACTACACGAACACTACATGAACGCAACGTGGACACTGCATTGACACTACATGAACATAACATTGACTATGCATCGACACCACATGAACACCACTTCGACATCTCACGGACACCACATGAACACCACATGGACACTACAAGAACTCCCCATGGACACCACATGGGCTCCATATGGACACTACATGAACACCACATGGACACAACATGGACACTGCATAAACACCACATGAACACTACATGGACACTACATGAACACTACCTGGATACTACATGAACACTACATGGACACTACATGAAGGCTACACAACACCACATGAACACTACGTGGACACTACATGGACATTATATGAACACTACATGAACACTACATGGACACTACATGAACACTATATGGACACTACATGAGCACTACATGAACACTACATGGACATTATATGAACGCCCCATGGACCCCCAATGGACACTACATGGACACAGCATGAACACCAAATGATAACTACATAAACACTACACGACCACTACGTGGCCACTACATGGACACTATAAGAGAACTACGGGGATTAAATGCCACCGACCATACACCTATGTTGCTGGTCTATTTGTAATGCAATACAATGTCTATTTCTAACGCAATGCCACAATATGGTTAGAAACGTCCGGTGGACGTGACGTAATAAGGACTCATCGACCCGCAAGGCGCCATATGCTGTCTCGCTTGTACAGTAGGTCAGTCTTTGTTACATTTTACTGTTTATTTATCAAACCAATCTGATTAATGTAAGACAAATTGGGTATTATTATGAAGTATTTTAGTGACATGATATACATTATAACGATATAGCTTAATTGCTGAAAGATAGAAAGGTACATATCAGTTTTGAGACTACATTTAACCACAATGAATTTCACACGCGCTCAACAGACCGCCATGTAATTATAAACATCCGCGTAGTACCGAATTGTATAGGGTATTTTATCTATGGAATTCAAAGAGAAAGGAAAACGTATTTCTAAGTGAGATATTTTAGCGATAACGAAAGATGCATCAGCAGAGCTTCTCGTCAAGCAAAGCTTTCGTAACGTGTCCTGCCACAGGGTGTTGATGTTAATAATAAAATCACGTCAACTGATATGTGGTCGCCACTAATCATGTTGAACGTTTTGTATTGAAAACCTAAAAACTAGATATAACCATTACACAGGAGCACTGTTTACTGATGACGCTGCCATTACACACATGGAGAGATAACACAGATATCGGGTTTTAGCGGATCCTGGACACGGAGGATAACACAGATATTAGAGTGTAGCGGATCATTGATACTGAAGATGAAAAAACTCAGTGAGTGAAATGTTTAGGTGATAAAATGACTGATTAGGGCACTATGTCTCAGGTTGATGTGTGTGATTGGTGCATAATGTCACTGATTGAATATGTGTGTGATTGGTGCATAATGTCAAGGATGGATAATGTCACCGGTTGATAATATGTGTGATTAGTGCATAATGTCAAGGATGGATAATGTCACTGGTTCATCATATGTGTGATTGGTGCATAATGTCATTGATTGATAATGCGTGCGATTGGTGCATAATGTCACTGGTTCATAATGTGTGTGATTGGTGCATAATGTCACTGGTTGCTAGTGTGTGTGGAGGATGGATAATGTCAAAGAAGGATAATGAAAGTGGTTGATAATGTTAGTGATCTATGGATAATGTCACTGGTTGATCATATGTGTGATTGGTGCATAATGTCATTGATTGATAATGCGTGCTATTGGTGCATAATGTCACTGGTTCATAATGTGTGTGAATGGTGCATAATGTCACTGGTTGATAATGTGTGTGATTGGTGCATAATGTCAAGGATGGATAATGTCACTGGTTCATCATATGTGTGATTGGTGCATAATGTCATTGATTGATAATGCGTGCGATTGGTGCATAATGTCACTGGTTCATAATGTGTTATTGGTGCATAATGTCACTGATTGATAATGTGTGTGGAGGATTCATAATGTCATTGGTTGATAATGTGTGATAGGTGCATAATGTCACTGGTTGATAATGTGTGATAGGTGCATAATGTCACTGGTTGATAATGTGTGTGATTGGTGAATAATGTCACTAGTTTATAATATGTGTAATTGGTGCATAAAGTCACTAGTTGATAATGTGTGTGGTTGGTGCATAATGCCACTGGTTGGAAGTGAGTGTGGAGGATAGATAATGTCAAAAATGTGTGTGATTGGTGCATAATGTCACTGGTTTATAATGAGTATGATTGGTGCATAGTGTCACTGGTTTAGAATGTGTGTGGTAGATACTTTCCCTGGTTGATAATGTATGTGATTGGTGCATAATGTCACTGGTTGATAATGTGTGTGATTAGTCCATAATGTCACTGGTTGATAATGTGTGTGGTTGGTGGATAATGTCACTGGTTGGTAGTGTGTGTAATTGGTGCATAATGTCATTGGTTTATAATGTGTTTTGTTGGCGGATAATGTCACTGGTTGATAAGGTATGTGATATATGGATAATATCACTGGTTGACAATGTGTGTGATATATGGATAATGGCACTGGTTGATAATGTGTGTGATTGGTGGATAATGTCACTGGTTTATAATGTGTATGGGGGATGCATAATGTCACTAGTTGATAATGCGTGTGATTGGTGCATAATGTCACTGGCTGGTAATGTGTGCGGAGAATGGATAATGTCGCTGGTTGATAATGTGTGTGATTGGTGCATAATGTCACTGGTTGGTAGTGTGTGTAATTGGTGCATAATGTCATTGGTTTATAATGTGTGTTATTGGTGGATAATGTCACTGGTTGATAAGGTATGTGATATATGGATATCACTGGTTGATAATGTGTATTATTGGTGGATAATGTCACTGGTTGATAGTATGTTATTGGTGGATAACGTCACTATCTGATATGGTGTGTGATTGTGGATAACGTCACTGGTTGATATAGTGTGTGGTTTTGGATAATGTCACTAGTTGACAAGGTGTGTGATTGTGGATAATGTCACTGGTTGATAATCTGTTATTGGTTGTTAATGTCACTCGTTGATATGGTGTGTGGTTGTGGATAACGTCACTAGCTTATATGGTGTGTGGTTGTGGATAATGCCACATTGAGCTGGCATTGTTCAGCCATTGTGAGACAGATTAGGAAATCCAATCCATCTGTTTGGTTGCAGCTCCCGAGTTTTATTCAAAGTCGGTCGTGTTGACATATGTGCGTGTGTATTTGACAGGATTTTGCCTACCTCACATGATTGATAGGAAGATATGCAGGTCATTAACATGCCATGGGTTAATATATAGTTAGTCTGTTAGTAAGCTGAGGTAGTGTTTGTAACCTAAATAACATATTCTGTCGTTCAGAATCATACCTTTATGTTACAGTTGTGGTGGTACTGATCCAGATATGGCGAATCACGTCTGCTGCAGGTATGTCCAACAAGTTGGAGGGATGGCACTCAAAGTGTAATTCTAATATCATTTTTATATTTTGTATTTTAGCAACTTTATATTTTTAAACTATTACATTATCTTTAGATGTTACAATCCATTTTGATATTTTTAATATACATTTTTATAGATATTTGCTATAATGAGGAAAATATATACAATGTAAGTGACAAAAATGTATCTTTTAACAGATGCGATATATTTATAAAATTCTTTTGACCAGCAATAAACTTGTAAGTTAAAATATATTGTTTGTTTTACATACAGATTGAAAGAGTCCATTTTATATGAGAGTGTACATCATTTGCACTGTTTATTCAAGACCCCCCATTATCCCTACACTCTTTGACCCCCCAAAGTGTAGGCGAATTGAGAGTGTAGGTGAGTGGAAGGACACCATGTCAAAACCACGTGTAATTGCTGTGTTGCACTTCCAGGAATTTAAATAGTCATATGTATCAATTCAAATGTTAAGGACAGAGTATGTTGTAAGTGTAATAAATGTATTGACTGCGAAGAACATGTTTTGTTACACTGTCCCTATATAATGATTTTACAACGGCTCTTTTTACAAATGTTCGGCTTTGTCGTAATTTCTCAATTTTTTATGTCTGTGTATAAGTCTGAGGGGAAAATACGAACTACAATAGTTGAAATATATGTCTGTGTGTAACTGGCCAAGCCTACTGGGCCCCCATTTTCACACATTGAATACAGCCCAGAACGGGCCTCCCTGGCATATGAAAGAACGCTTTTGTTATCAGGGTGAGGTAACACGCCGGAAGCGCTCTTAATATGCACACAAGCAAAACACACGTTTCCTCTGTGCGTGTGTGCGTGCGTGCATGAGTAATGTGCGTGTAAAAATGAGAAACCCTATCCGTGGTGCCCATCAGGAATGGAACGCCAAACTTGTATGTGAGTTTATAAGTGACATGTGTCCATGGTGTGTGCGTTATTTTCTGCATATAAAATGTGTGTACACGTGTGTGTGTGTGAACAAATATACATCTATACGTTGCTATTTTGCAGATCCCCCACCAGAGATACAGAGCAATGAGACGTTGTGTTTTTACTGCAATGAAAGAAAAGTCAATTTCAACTGGACGTACCAAGTACAATCAGTATTCCGAATCCAGTGGAAGTTTGAGGACATTTTCATGGCAAATAAAACAAATCGTACTGTTGACCTGACACAGGTAATATGAACTATAAGACGGATACAGTAAGACGAACAGGATGTAACAAATACTTGCATCTGAAAGTGAGAAATTGAGTTAGATATTTTGTCTGTAGCCTGTAAACTGACAAGATCTGTTTTCTTCATTTAAGGAGTCCCTCAGTATCAACCAGAACTACAGGGGCCGTTTTACCCTCCTAACTCCAGGTGATGTTGGTTTTAGTCTCACCAACTTGAAGAGGGCTGACCTAGGAACCTACAGATGTATCGTTACATTGGACAGCGGAACAGGAATAACACTGCAAGGAGGTTTAGAAGAGAGACGTACTGGTAATGGTTGATGTCGTAGTGAGAGCGGTTGACGTTCATGTAAATGTAATATGATAAATATGATAATACGTAGTGTATATATATATATATATATATAGTTATATTACTTATATTATATTATAATATATATAATAATAAGTAATATAACTATATATGTATCAAGACGTGCAGTTATGCAGCTATGATTATGATGGAATTGGCGTCACTTTATCCTCTTCGAGTGCAAAGGGACATATGTATGTTTGTATATGTAGGAATATTTGCAGACAGACAGAAAAGATGGAGGTAAGGTTCTGAGTGAGTGAGTGAGTGTGTGAGTGATTGAGTGATTAACCGCTAGGCTATAACGCTTTAACCACTATGCTACACCAGCACCCCGAGTGAGACTGAAGCTCGGACGGAGGAACATACACGAGGAGCTAGATGAGTGACGGGCAGTTCCTACAGTGAGGATAACCGTAATAGATATGAACGTATAGTTATAATCAACAGGATTCATTTGCAGATAGACGGGAGAAAGTGAAGGCGTGCAGTGATGAAGCTGCCATCTTTAAGTGGACTCGGACTTGGGAGGAGCCTTTCCAACACGTACAGTGGCAGTTCAATGAAACAACGATTGCCAATACAACCAAAGAAGGAATCAGTAGGGTAGGTGTCATGGCAGCAATCCCCCTGACTGACCTACTTGTCAGATGGAATCGGCAAGTGTTTGTGTAAATGCAAGAGTTCTTTACATACATTGCAATGTATGAACTGTTTAAAATGAAATTGTTAGCTATGTTGTCCCAATTGGGTCTAATTACGTTATCCATGGAGGTTCAATAATTAAAAACACTTTGTTATTAATCTGAGGTTTAATTCCATCACCTCATCTCCTCAACGCAACTACATGTCCAGTCCTCAGTAAAAGTCAATGTATCATTAACTGCAGTTCAAAAGTCTCTGTACAATAAACCCTGTTGGTGCGAGTATCAGTTTTGCGTTCTTGCATCCACAGTTTGCTTTGGTCATCGTCTTCAATATCCCCTCTGTTTGTTTCTAAAGGATTCACTGCGCATCACAGCCGAGTACGAGCCTCGCTTCCATCTGCTACAGGCAGGTGATGTTGGGTTTGGTCATCGCCTTCATGTAATATCCCCTCTGTTTGTTTCTAAAGGATTTACTGCACATCACAGCCGAGTACGAGCCTCGCTTTCATCTGCTACAGGCAGGTGATGTTGGGTTTGGTCATCGTCTCAATGTAATATCCCCTCTGTTTGTTTCTACAGGATTCACTGCGTATCACAGCCGAGTACGAGCCTCGCTTCCATCTGCTACAGGCAGGTGATGTTGGGTTTGGTCATCGTCTTCATGTAATATCCCCTCTGTTTGTTTCTACAGGATTCACTGCGCATCACAGCCGAGTACGAGCCTCGCTTCCATCTGCTACAGGCAGGTGATGTTGGATTTGGTCATCGTCTTCAATATCCCCTCTGTTTGTTTCTACAGGATTCACTGCGCATCACAGCCGAGTACGAGCCTCGCTTCCATCTGCTACAGGCAGGTGATGTTGGGTTCCGTCATCGTCTCCATGTAATATCTCCTCTGTTTGTTTCTACAGGATTCACTGCGCATCACAGCCGAGTACGAGCCTCGCTTCCATCTGCTACAGGCAGGTGATGTTAGGTTTGGTCATCGTCTTCATGTAATATCCCCTCTGTTTGTTTCTACAGGATTCACTGCGCATCACAGCCGAGTACGAGCTTCGCTTCCATCTGCTACAGGCAGGTGATGTTGGATTTGGTCATCGTCTCAATGTTATATCCCCTCTGTTTGTTTCTACAGGATTCACTGCGTATCACAGCCGAGTACGAGCCTCGCTTCCATCTGCTACAGGCAGGTGATGTTGGATTTGGTCATCGTCTTCATGTAATATCTCCTCTGTTTGTTTCTACAGGATTCACTGCGTATCACAGCCGAGTACGAGCCTCGCTTCCATCTGCTACAGGCAGGTGATGTTGGGTTCCGTCATCGTCTTCATGTAATATCTCCTCTGTTTGTTTCTACAGGATTCACTGCGCATCACAGCCGAGTACGAGCCTCGCTTCCATCTGCTACAGGCAGGTGATGTTGGATTTGGTCATCGCCTTCATGTAATATCTCCTCTGTTTGTTTCTACAGGATTCACTGCGTATCACAGCCGAGTACGAGCCTCGCTTCCATCTGCTACAGGCAGGTGATGTTGGATTTGGTCATCGTCTTCATGTAATATCTCCTCTGTTTGTTTCTACAGGATTCACTGCGCATCACAGCCGAGTACGAGCCTCGCTTCCATCTGCTACAGGCAGGTGATGTTGGATTTGGTCATCGTCTTCATGTAATATCTCCTCTGTTTGTTTCTACAGGATTCACTGCGCATCACAGCCGAGTACGAGCCTCGCTTCCATCTGCTACAGGCAGGTGATGTTGGGTTTGGTCATCGTCTTCATGTAATATCTCCTCTGTTTGTTTCTACAGGATTCACTGCGTATCACAGCCGAGTACGAGCCTCGCTTCCATCTGCTAAAGGCAGGTGATGTTGGATTTGGTCATCGTCTTCATGTAATATCTCCTCTGTTTGTTTCTACAGGATTCACTGCGTATCACAGCCGAGTACGAGCCTCGCTTCCATCTGCTACAGGCAGGTGATGTTGGATTTGGTCATCGTCTCAATGTAATATTCCCTCTGTTTGTTTCTACAGGATTCACTGCGCATCACAGCCGAGTACGAGCCTCGCTTCCATCTGCTAAAGGCAGGTGATGTTGGGTTTGGTCATCGTCTCAATGTAATATCCCCTCTGTTTGTTTCCAAAGGATTCACTGCGCATCACAGCCGAGTACGAGCCTCGCTTCCATCTGCTACAGGCAGGTGATGTTGGGTTTGGTCATCGTCTTCATGTAATATCTCCTCTGTTTGTTTCTACAGGATTCACTGCGCATCACAGCCGAGTACAAGCCTCGCTTCCATCTGCTACAGGCAGGTGATGTTGGGTTCCGGCTGGAGACGGTCAGCTCCGCGGACGCCGGAACATATGCCTCTGTCATCACATTTCCAAGCGGAAAATTTAACATTATATGGAATTTGGAAGTGGAAGGTAACTCTTGCATCACGAATGCAGTGTTTCTTATTGCCTGAGGTCTTTAATGACTGACTGACTGGGTATGATTTTACTCCGCTTTTAGCAATATTCCGGTAATATCATGGCGGGGACTCACGAAATGGGCTTCACATCTTGCATTCACGTAGGGAATCGAACCCGGGCCTTAAGCGCAACGAGCGAACGCTTTAACCATCAGGCTACTCCACCGCCCCTCTAAGGCCCTTAAGTCGACAAGCACCCAACACATAAACTATGTAAACTATAGTTTTGGTAAACATTGGACACTTGAACAATGATCAGAAATAGCTGAAAGAACCAAAGATTATGCTGATACATTATGATATCATAATATTTTACAGAAGTACAAAGTGGCAACTTGAGCATTGTCATCAACCAGGAGACGCTGTCCTGTGGGGAGGAGAGGAAGTCGGACTTCAGCTGGGTAATATAGAAGAAGAACAATATATTTTATGGGTCACCATTTTCCACTTACAGAGCATTTTATACTATACGATATATAACATAATTATGGAAAGACAAGTCCAGCCTTACGAGACACAAATCTATATAAAATAACAAATATTGTATTATCAACACTGTCGGGGTAATAAAACATACCAGTATGCGAAATACACGTTGTATTTTCGGCCTAAATCATATTACATGTTTTTACGTATCCTTGCCATCCAGTGCGTTTTTCTGGTACCTTCAAACTGACAAGAAAATAGGGATAATACAATTGGTGCCACGGTCGAGGAAGTAATGTAACAATCTCATGGATGTATTTCATGTGAATGTTACCAAACATTGAGAGACGTTTATTATCTTGTGCAACTGTGACACTTTATTATTATATTCTCCTTTTCACTTATGTTTCTACCATGCAATAATCGTGCAGTGTATATCGGAGACGACAATAACCGTGCAGTGTATATCGGAGACGACAATAATCGTGCAGTGTATATTGGAGACGACAATAACCGTGCAGTGTATATCGGAGACGACAATAATCGTGCAGTGTATATCGGAGACGACAATAACCGTGCAGTGTATATTGGAGACGACAATAACCGTGCAGTGTATATCGGAGACGACAATAATCGTGCAGTGTATATTGGAGACGACAATAACCGTGCAGTGTATATTGGAGACGACAATAATCGTGCAGTGTATATTTTAGACGACCACGTATGTTTCACGACGTGTGTCATCAATATATAGTAAAACTAATTTAACTCCAGCAACATCGACTTCACCTCTTGTACATGTAGTTTCTCTGCTCATCCACTGTATTGGGATTACAGCTAAAGGGAGGTAACCCTCTTTCTCGCGTGCGATACAGTTAAGTCACATACTGTCAATTAAAAATGCATTTGGATTTTACAAGGAAAGGAAACAGGTAGATTTGTGACCTTTACCACACTTTCATAGCGGATGGCGTCTGTTTCATGCCAGATTTAGCTCAGGTAGAACGTATTTCTATGATGTGGAGGTCACTCAGTATGAACGTCCACCAATTGTATACAGACACTGAGGTGTGATTCACATTGTTTCCCATCTTGGAGTCTTCAGGTTCCAGTTTTGGTAGGACAATTCACGACCCATTCGTGCCATGTGTGACGTCAATACAAAACTTCAGAACAGAACAGTACAGAACTCTCACAAACTCAGGCCGGGATACTCGGCAATAGAGGTACAAATATACAGTTTAGAATACACAGGATGGCGGGATGGTTTACATGGAAGATTGTACAGTTTTCATAATAGCATTACTCTTTTGAAAAAGACTTAGTTCACTTTACATTTAAACAATTCGTTAAATTTTAACACGTGTTTTTTAACATAATAGTTTGGGATATATGTTTTCCTATGACGTTTGAAGATAGAGAGAAAAATACAATGGAATTCATCACCGTTGTCTTCACGTTTGTGAATTCTATGGAATCCTGGAAGGGACATTGTCGCGCTGTCACGTTGTTGCCCTCTCAAATACAAGCAAAATTAAGTAAACGCGACACGCAACAACGCGACATTTCGCCCATTTGTGGCATTGTCGCGATGTCGCATGTCGCGTTTTGAATAATATTTTTTTTCTATTAATTCCTCCAAAGGGCGACACGCGACATAGCGACAATTTTCAAGGTCAAAATATGTCGCGTTGTCGCGCGTCGACCTATGTATGATGTGTAAAAACAGCCTAAAAAAATTACTAAAACGCGACACGCGACAGTGCGACAACGCGACATTTCATCAAAATGTCGCGTTGTCGCATTGTCGCGTGTCGCGTTTTATTAGTTACCGCGGAATTTCAAAACTATTACAAGGATGAATATGTCTAGATGTATTTAAAGGGCGAAGGTACCCAGGGATCGAACTCAGATTAATAATAATGGCCGTGAAGTCTGTGGGTGAAGAGTTCTTGGTTAATGGAATGGATGTATTGAAACTGACCATTTGGCTGAAAATTATTGAAAAAAATTAACTGATTGAGTAGGTGTATGTTTGAAACGATACAAGTACATGTGTATCGCTTGGTATAGTATCATATGAGAAAACTATCGCTATATTGTGAATCCTGACATGTGCAGGATTAATGATATAGGATTCAAATAGAATTGAAAAACAGACATCACAACACATTATCGTAATGAAATACCTTGCTAATTTACCATTTTCCCTAAACCTTGAGTGATTGAGTGAGGAGTGGAAGTGGAGCGGAGTGGAGAGGAGTGGAGAGGAGTGGTGAGGAGAGGAGCGGAGTGGAGAGGAGTGGAGGAGTGGAGTGGAGTGGAGTGGAGTGGAGTGGAGTGGAGTGGAGTGGAGTGGAGTGGAGTGGAGTGGAGTGAGTGGAGAGGAGTGGAGTGGAGAGGAGCGGAGTGAGTGAGTGAGTGAGTGGAGCGGGAAGGGGACCAGATTTAGTGAGTGAGTGAGTGAGTGGAGCAGGGAGCGGAGAGCGGAGTGGAATGAGTGAGTAGATAAAGTGGAGTGGAGCGGAGCTGAGTGAGTGTGTGAGTGAGCGAGTGGAGTGGAGTTGAGTGGAGTGAGTGATTGGAGCGGGTAGCGGAGCTGAGTGAGTGAGTGAGTGAGCGAGAGGAGTGGAGTGGAGTGGAGTGGAGTGGAGTGGAGTGGAGTGGGTGAGTGAGTGGAGTGGAGCGGAGTGGAGTGAGTGAGTGGAGCGGGAAGGGGACCGGATTTAGTGAGTAAGTGAGTGAGTGAGTGGAGGAGGGAGCGGAGAGCGGAGTGGAGTGGAGTGGAGTGGAGTGAGTGAGTAGATGGAGCGGAGTGGAGTGGAATGAGTGAGTGAGTGAGTGGAGCGGAATGAGTGAGTAGAGCGTAGCCAAGAGGTGTGGAATAGAGTAGATAGGAGCGGAGATGAGTGGAGTGGAGTCGGGTGGAGTGAGTGAGTGGGTGGAGCGGGAAGTGGAGTGGAAGGAGGAGGGAGCGAGCGAGCGAGGGTTGATTTCTGGCACTCCTCTCGGCACGCAACTCGATTTGCAATCCACTGGGCACGCATCTCGATTTGACCGCTTTTAAAATCATAATGATAACAATCAATTGTTGAGTGGAGCGAAGTGGAGCGGAACGGAGTGGGTGAGTGAGTGAGTGAGTGAGTGGAGCAGGGAGTGGAGAGTGGAGTGGAGCGAGTGAGTAGATGGAGTGGAGTTGAGTGGAATGAGTGAATGAGTGGAGTGGAGTGGACCGGAGCGGAGCGGAGCGGAGCGGAGTGGAGTGGAATGAGTGAATGGAGGGGAGTGAAGTGGTGTGGATGTGGAGTAGAGTAGAGAGGAGCGGAGATGAGTGGAGTGGAGTGGAGTGGAGTGGGGTGGAGTGAGTGAGTGGGTTGAACGGGAAGTGGAGTGGAAGGAGGACGGGAAGGGTGGAACGAGCGAGCGAGCGTTAATTTCTGGCACTCCAAGGGCACGCAACTCTCCCAAGCGATTTGACCACTTTTAGAATCATAATGAACACAGTCCATTTGTATGGCGTTTTCCCAAGAAGAATATCACGTTCAAATCCGACCAAAACTGTATTTAAGGTGCTGGATGGTTGAGTGATATTACCATCTCATTCTGCCTGGTATCCATCCACTACTGGCTGTCGGACAGGACTGTACCAAGAATCTCTCTGAGGAGCCCCACTGTGGAACATAGTGACCCATTCGTGGACATCACTTGATGTTTCTGCCGATGTGGCCTGAATTTTAACAATATTTGAGTTTTTTCACAACCTGTGAGCTTTATATGGGTGAAATTTCCAAAGTGATGAGTGTGTATGGTGCTGGGATTAGAACCTATGATCTGGTGTGACTAAGAGACACAACTCTGCACAGCAAATTACCCCGCCTTGAATGACAGGGTCACCGTGTGCCATCATTACAATGAATAGTAGCGCTAATAATTTGTCTTGCTGCTAAAACACACTTGATTGGCCAAATACATTTACAATATATACAATAATTTTCAAAGCAACAATGAAAGATTTGCATTAAGTTCAAGAAAAGCAGCCCCCATTATCATTACGCGTACTACTTCATTGTAAAATCCATTGGATGTAACAAAGGCCCACTGTAGAGTCTGCGCATGCGTAGACTCAATGACTTTCTATGCAAACGCATCGGTAATCGAAAAGGGCGACAACGCGACATATTGAATATGTCGCGTTGTCGCGTGTCGCGTTTTAGTGAATTTTTAGGCTTCTTTTCACGCATCTTAGATAGGGCGACGCGCGACAACGGGACATATTTTGACCTTGACAATTGTCGCTATGTCGCGTGTCGCCCTTTGGAGGAATAGAAAAATACTATTCAAAAAGCGACATCACGACAATGCGACAAATGGGCGAAATGTCACTTACTTGTGTTGGAGAGGGCGACAATGCGACATAGCGACAATGTCCCTTCTCGGATTCCATAGAATTCACACATTCTTTCTTCGGGTGGAATTTTGTGCCACCTACCGACTTCTATGTGTGAATGATAGAAGGAAGTTCTAAACAGGAGTAATTTAAAAGTTTCATGTCCAGTTTGATTAAACCGTCAACGCCAGGGAATAACCAGTCCCGACTGATACAGATTTCCCTGAGAGTAAACGTTAAACCAGACGTGGACCGGATGTGGCTGGATCGCTGACAACCAGTATCTACACGGTCTGTGGTTTAAAGCGTTCGTTCGTCACGCCGAAGACCCAGGTTTGATTCTCCACATGGGTACAATGTGTGAGTCCCATGTCTGGTGTCCCCGCCGTGATATTGCTGGAATATTGCTAAAAGCGGCGTACAACCATGCTCACTCACGCACTCACTCTTCTGGTAGCATCCGACAACTGGTGCTTGGCTGACTCTGCACCGGAGTGAGTGAGTAAGTGTGAGTTAAAATTTATCGTCACATCGGCAATATTTCCAGCCATATCGTGACGAGAACAATTAATTGTATACATAGTACTTAATGGTAAATGGGAAAACCTGACAACGAAGGACAGTAAAATAACTGGATTATCACAGATTCGAATTTAAAACTAGTAATTCAATCTAAAACAGTTTAACTATAGATGACAATACAAGGTAAAAACAGGCTATATATTGCCAACAACTGAAGGTAGATCACCATGCTAGAGACCACGGGGACTTACAGTACATTTGCTTCCTGCATGGACCCTAGCTGGATTTACACCATCCCCTCAGCTATTAGCAATTTTAGATACTCTTGCCACAAATTAAACGAGCATATATTCTCACGATTAAAATGGTAATAGGTTTAGATTTACTTCGAATGTTTTGGGACTTACGTATTCTCTCAGGAGGACAAAAAATGTACAGTGCTTTAACCCCCTTTGAGGGTACAGCCACTGACAATCTAAGTTACTAATCTAAACTACGTATCATTAAAATACATCTATCTACAGAACATATTAATCAAAACTCATTAATCAAATCAATTGCTTTAAAAAAACAAGAATTATATGAAAATGAACAGTATTGAAAAGATCCTTAACAGTTTTAACATTGAAAAATATATCCCTTATGATGGAGAATTCAACACCGTCGAGTAGGAGATGCTTGACTGTGACTCTCTCATCACAAGGGATACAAAACGTAGGATCTTCACCTTTTAACAGATATTTGTGAGTGTAACGCGTATGGCCAGTGGGACATCGTCCCAGAATGACCTCCTCAAATGTGGACTGACAACCCAAGTAGGTGTAACCAACATAAGGTTATATTTCATGTAATTTATTGATACCTACTTGGGTGTCCCACTTCTGCATCAGATCACGGATGGAAGTTTTAATGCAAGATTTGTAATCAGAGTAATACTCTGCACAGTAATATCTCTTATCATGATGGCGGCATGTGAACAGTCTCTACCAGACGCTTTACTGACACACGTTTGATCTAACAAATCTAACGGGTGTTGTCATTTGGTCTCCATAAGTCATGGGCCCCCTCGAGAAATATAAACTGACGCTGAAGACGGACTGTTCCTTCCGTCCACTAAACAGGCTCCAGAACGCGTCGCTGTCGCCAGTCGAGTAAAGTCCATGACGTGAAGTTAAAGGGTGCTTGTTAATTCTTCAGGTTTTCCTAAATGTCTCTGGGGTAGAGAACGTGGATAAGACAGGACACGCCCTACATCTGCCGTCCGTTCCTACATCGGGGTGGGTGTATTGTTTCCGTCAGTCTGACTGTACAACGTCGTCGATCTACAATTTCACCAGGGATGAGTCAGTCAAAGGTAATGATTTACATTGACTTTACACGTTGCTCGTTGTACGGGACATGCCCTGGCTGTCGGACATTTTAAGTTGCGTTGTGAGTTTGTTTTGTTTTACCGTTATATCCCATTGTTGCCTTCTCCCATTACATACAGTCTTTCATTTCATCTTTTAGAAAGGGTAAATCTCTTTGATTTCAAAGGGTGAACAGATCCAAAAAGCATTATACTTACTCTACTAACAGTAATCGTAATCTAGCCTGTAGTGACTGATGGTGAGAATTCATAGCAATATTAGACTCGTTCCAGTTACCCATCAGGCTAGCTATTCTCGAAACGTTCTCAACACATTGGCTACGATCAAAGTTAAGAATTCTTATAAGGGCCCTGGCTATCTATTCTTGAAACGTTCGTAGCCCTACGAACTTCTTAAGCCCATTCTTAAAACATTGGCTACGATCAAAGTTAAGAATTCTTAGGGATACGAACGTTTCGAGAATAAGGGCCCTGCTTATTATAGCTTGTGACGACAGACAATGCTTGACGCGAACCTTATCTGAAATTATGAATATTTTGCTTTGCTCTAAATCTGCCATGTAATAAACCTTTCTGTCTGTCTGCCTATATAGTGTAGTGTCCTCTTCTTTCTTTTTATTTATCTCCGTTTTTCATTTATCTATGCTACTATGAAACTTGGCGAAATGGCGGTACTGAATTTGTGATGGCGGCATCGAATAAAGAATATAACACAAAAGTCAACGTTCATTTGAGTTCATTTATCATTTATGTTCTGTTTTGAAACTCAAATTAGGTTCAAAATTTGCATGCATTTGAGTGTTGGTGATTGAGATGAACCGGAGGCGGGACAAGAATGAAATCTGGTGAGATATTGCTGTTTATGGCAAGCTAGTATGGTAATATGGTAATATATCAACCGTCTTGTTTGAGATGTGATTTGAAATGAAAACAATCCTTGCAACGAAAAGGTTAATTAAAATCTGCATATTGTGAAACCTTACATATGTGGCGGTGGTAATTGGGGCTGATATCTGTATGGTGTGAGTGATACGTGTCATCTTTCTATCTCATTGTGTCTCTTATCTTTGTATAAATTGTTGGCCATTTTCCAAATAGAATATCGGTCTTAAACCTAGGTGTTGTTTTTCCTTTAGATAATGTGCCCGAAGAGGGAAGACGCAAGATGAATCCCGCAGCTTATGTAGTTCTGATTGTCATTATCATCATCATCATCATCATCATCATCATCATCATCGTAGTCCTAGTACTGTATAAGCGAAGAAGACAAAGGCAACACCTCAGGTGAGTGAGTGAGTTAAAATTAAAGTCACTTTGGCAATATTGCAGCCTTATCGTGACTAAATCAAGTAATAGATTAAAGTTATTAAAAGGAAATTATACAAATCTGTCAACGAAGGACAGTAAAACAACTAGATTATGAGAGAAAGAAAGGTATGATAAGGGTGGTTTTTTGCCCACGAACAGAATTGGCTGAACACATGGTATTTGTTTAGAGACAAGATGGCTTTGCATAAAAAAGCTATTTTTTAAATGATCTGAGGCCATAATTTCAATGCAGAGGGGCCAAAAATGGGTCGTATCAGTTCCCATGAAAAAATAACAAGAAATCTGAAATATCAGTTTGCCATAATGACTTATATACAACTATCAGTTTATTTACATACAAACAGTATCAGTTTTGCAACAGGTATTCATGAAGAAGAAACATGTCAACATCAATCACAAGGTTTTAACTTCAAGAGGCCCAATTAGGGTTCCAATACATTGTGGACAGTAATTCAATTACTTGCCAATTGATTACAAAAAGCACATTATTGACAACTTTCTTTGCAAACATAAACTATAGGTCAATTTTACAACATGTACTTATGATAACCAATCATGTCCCACGAAAAATCACAGGGGCCCATTTTAGGTCTAATTACATTTTGGGCACAGCTTGATTTTAACAAGTAAAAGTTTTAATGTCAGTATTCACAACCGGTTTTAGCAAATATACACTAAACATCTCATTCTCAACATGTTGTTATAATAACCAATCATGTTGCACTAAAAGCACAGGTCTTGACCTCAAAGGGGCCTATTTCAGGTGAAATTACATTCTTGGCACAGCTTGATTTTTGACACCAAGTAAGTGTTAAAAGTCAGTATTCAAAAATCTTCAAAAAGTAATTATTCACAACTCATTCACTGCAAATATATATAAAACATCCACTTTCACTCTTCATCCACATGGTCATCAATCTCTGAATCAGTTTCTGAATCACTATCAAGAACTGCAGCATTCAACTGTGTATCACTAGAGTTGCTGGAAACAGGCATATTGTCTTGGTGTCTGCCATACCCAGATCTTCTCTCAACTGAAAACAGATGACTTTATATCAAAAGAAAATCCTGTTTTAAAACTTTGATATTATAAATCTATACAAGGGTAACATTACTTATTTATTTTCAAATGTCAGTAGTCTGGCCTTGAAGGCTTCTGCAGATTTAATCACCAATGAGACATCAGTATTTCTGAAATTCTGTCACATTAAATAAGAAAATTGAAGAAAAAAAAATATTGGGTATTTTTAGCACTCGCATTATTCTTACCTTCCACCTCAAGTTTTATGTTGTCATCTTCATGAAATGACACTCCTGAAATCAGTCCAAGCAAATTTCTCTTATCTGAAAACTAATATTTGAAATCACAAAAGAATTATCATTATGTTCTTGAAATTGGTGCTTTGTATTTTTTCTAATGCTAAACATGTCAATAGGATAGTTATATAGGGAAGGGAATTGACCTCCAAAAGCATAATCAATTGTTGAGGCCACTTTTTGATCAATTATAGATATAAGATAAAAACAACTGTTAGAGCACTTGAAAACAAAGGTAATCAGTCCTCAGTTTTAATATGAGAATTGAAACCAATAGTCATTGATTCTGTAAACATATTTCTAAGAAGAAATAGTGAACGCTTTTATTGATTATGTGATTTGTTTATCGGTAATTGTCTGGCAGCCCACCAAATATCCATAAACTAATTATTTGTTTGATCAGTGCACCACTAATTAACAGCTCTGGACAGTTTGTAAATATTTACTTACAGAAATTACCATACTAACATTTTGAAACAATGCTTACCTTCTACAGGTTCTTTATTGTGTGGGAACAAAGTGGAAAAGTCAGTGTCTTCAGGCTTAAACAAGATTTACATGATGTTAATTCAAGTTTGTTTGAACAGTGTAACTTACATTACCAAACTTAAGAAAAAAAATTGTATTTCATATGCACAAGTTTTGTCAGCCAATTTACAATGTTTAACTTAACTTTTGAAAAAAAAAGAAGAAAAGAAAAAAACAATTAGAATTTCAACCTGAATGTCTGATAACAGAAAAAATTGAGAAGCCATCACTGTAACCATTAGGCTACAGATTCTACTGTTATCATTTGTCACTTTAAGCTTATATATACACTTTGCAACAATGTGTCACTTGACGTCTGCTTGCTTTTCATAATCTGCTAGACCTTGATACAATGTTCTTATTCTAACAATATTAAATGTAGCCTGATATATCCTAGAAAACATCAAGGTACATTATTTTTGTTAAAATGTGTATGTTTATACACTGTTACATCCAGTGGAATGCCAGTGTTATTTGACAGTGACAGGTGACACAGAGGGGTTTGCTAAACAGATGATAGAACAAATATGATAAAATTCTAGCATAATTACAAAGATTCTCACCTTTAGAATGCTGCCTGATCATATTTTGAAAAATCTTCTGATGTCTTCTTATTTTTCCAGCAGTGATCAACAGGGTCTCCAAAAAACTACCCTTGTTTTCCTCAAAGTAATCAGCCTTGAGAGTCCCTTACGATATTGAAATGTTAACATGTTTCATAAGTTCATTTCAGTGCTCTAAAACATTCAAAATAGTAATGAATCATGGTATAGTTGTGTAAATGTGACGGATAGATTTCAGAGATATTACTTTACGCCAATGTTTATTTTTGCGATGTTGTATGGGTCAATTCATACAACAGAAAAAATGTACTTTTTAAACATTTTGATATGAGCAAAAGCGTGACCCACCACAATTTTTCAGGAGTGCATTCTTATTTACTCTCTTCATATATGGTGAAAAAATTGGGATGGGTCAAGCTTTTTTATCACTCTGAAAATATGAAAATGCAGGTTTTCGAAGATGTTGTAAAATAGGTTAATTTTGAGGTCTTCAAAGAGGGAAAAAACAACACTAAAACATATAAAAAAAACATATGGAGGTAATTTCAACAATTCATTTAGCATTTTTTATGCTAAAATTATCATGTTGTAGAACTTTGACTATCATGAAATTTTGTGGGCCAATAAGGGCCTTTATCATACCTTGTCCTTTAAAACATTTTAACTATACAAGACGATACAATATAGAAAACCGGCAATAGATCGCCAACAACTGAAGGTAGATCACCATACTAGGGACCATGGGAACTTTCAGTTCATTTGCTTCCTGCATGGACCCTAGCTGGATTTACATCATCACTTCAGCTTTTAACAATTTACACACATCTAGCCATCCATTAAAAAATACACATATTCTACGATTAAGAAGGTGGAGAGTTTAAATCAACTTTGAATTTTTTGGGACGTACGTACCCTCTCAGGAGGACGATCATTTTATGCCCCAGGTGAGTCTTACATACAGCGGTGATGGTTGGCTTGTCTTACCTGTTGTATACGAGTGGCGGTGGGGTAGCCTAGCGGTTAAAGCGGTCGCTCGTCACGCCGAAGACCTGGGTTTGATTCCCCAATTGGGTACAATGTGTGAAGACCATATAATATCAATTCAATAATGATTCATCTATATAGCGCCGTGTATCCATCTGACTGGCTGCTCACTGGACACTGTATTCATAAACTAATTATTATTACCCCGGATAACCTAACACGTCAAAGCATTGGTTACACAACAGTCTCGTTTCCTGCTGACTG